AAGAAGTCTTGGAGGTTTTATGGAGCAGTATAGGAGGAGCGAGGGCTTTTGAAAACAAAGCTTCATGTACTACAGTTAAATGGCTTTGCTAAGCTAAGTCACTTCAGTTGTGTCCGACCCTGTGCGACCCCATAGACGGCAGCCCACCAGGCTCCCCCGTCCCTGGGATTCTCCAGGCAAGAACACTGGAGTGGGTTGCCATTTCCTTCTCCAATGCATGAAGGTGAGAAGTGAAAGTGAAGCCGCTCAGTCGTGTCCGACTCCTAGCTACCCCATGGACTGCAGCCTACCAGGCTCCTCCTTGCATGGATTTTCCAGGCAAGAATACTGGAGTGGGGTGCCATTGCCTTCTCCTAAATGCCTTTAGTTATCTAAAAGTAAACATAAGAACTCTGGTTTCATTTCAACCAGAATGTTATCCTTATTTGTACTTGAAATCTATCATATTTTGGTTTAAGTTGTTTCAGCAACAAGTTGGTGGCTTTAAACCCACTCACGGGAGGTGGGTGGCCAGCCCCACAGCTCCTCTGAGGGCCAGGACTGCTCACCTCCACGGTATCAAGGCTGTGAAGCTCTAGGTGCAGGGAGCACGTGGAACCACACAGGCATCCTCTTGAAGCTTTCTCTTCATTTGGGAAGGGCACCCCACTGACCCGTCACTTCAGCCTTGTGGTCACCTGTCTCTTCATTTGGGAAGGGCACCCCACTGACCCATCACTTCAGCCTCATGGTCACCTGTCCCTCCAGCAGGTCTGCAGACACTTGGTTCTGGCAGCGGGGAAGCTTCTGCCAGGGAGAGAGTCAGAACTGGCAGCAGGTACGCACACAGGTAAATAAAGTGTCAAGCTGAGATGTGTGCACATGAGGGCTGTGATTATCCAAAGGGAAATCCTCTCCAGATAGTGACAAAGCCATGCATCACATCTCGGGCATCACATCTCGGAGATGAGTGTCCTGGGCAGCAGGGGTGGGGGTAGGGTGGGGTGTGCAGACATCTGAATGAATGCAGAAGCTAGGACAGGTGTAGGGGAGGTAGGGTAGAAGGGGCACCCTGGGGAACAGTGCAGCAGGGAGGGGAAGCGTGGCTCAGAGTCCCAGGGCTGTGGAACCTGCAAGCCAAAAAATGACCTTCACTGTCACAGCTTTTTTTTTTTAATTGGAGTATAATTGCTTTATAATGTTTCACAGCCTTTTTAAAATCAGCTTTTTTGGAGGTCTGACTTCATTAAACTTTACCTGCTTTAAGTTGCAGTGCAAAGGTTTTGCAAACTGTGTGCAACCAACAATTTTCTGTCACCAAGTGATCAGATCTGGTGAAGGGGGGCTTGCTGGTTGTTGGGGTGGGCTCCTTGGCTGGGCAGTCACCTAGTGCAGGTGCCCGCCCCTCCTGCTTGGAACTCGTGGGGGAGGGCCTGGCCAAGCTGCAGGGGAGCAGAACTGCACACCAGCTGCTGTGTGCTGGTGGTGCGGGCGGTGGGGGTGAATTACAGGAAAGGAGGACGCTGCATTCCTGGCATATTCTTTCCCAATGGTTCCCAGCTCTCTGCAATACCGGTATGAACCAGTTTTTTCTGACTGCCTCCAGCTTGAGCAGAATTTCCGTCGTTGTTGTCCTCAGCCAATTGAAAATCACCTGGAGTTTTATCCCAAGCACAAAAGAAGGTCAGAGAGAGGAGGCCCGATAACTGCGATTTCCTCCCCCCGCCTCCCTGGTCCTGGACTGGAAGGTCCTATAGTCTTTGTCTGCCTGGCCTGTGCCCTCTGGGTGTCAGCCCTGGAAATTCTTTGATTTCTTTGTCTGCTGGCTTTGGCAAGGGTAAGCCAGCCTGAGAGATGCTGTTTATCCTTGGGTTGCCCTGTTCTGACTCACTTAACCTGATCAGCATCTCTGCCTGGTGGTCGCTCTGTGTCAGTCCTGCCTACCTGCACCTTTCCCAGGAAGGTGTGGTTGGCATGCCAGGTGCTCAGAGCATCGGTGTGATAACTTGCCCCCCCCGCCCCACCTCTGCAGCTGCCATCAGTGTTCTTGTTAGTCAAAGCTGATTTTTCTGAAGAGAGATGAACTTGTGGTTTTTACTGTGCCTTTTGGCTCTGGATCTTTTAGCAGCTGGTGCCCCTCAGGATGAGGGGTCGGCGTGCAGCAAGGGGACCCTCTCTACCCAAGGTCTTGTTGTTGGGCAATTGCCACTGCATTTCAGACACATCTTCATGTATTCTGTAAGGCAGAAGATGGTGTTTAAGGCTTGAAGAAAGTGTGCTGCTCTCCAGAGGCTTGGCCCCACCCCCCCCTTAGAGCCCCAGGGTGTATGTCCATAACAGGACTTAATGTAGACACAGGTAAGGGTGGGGACTCCAGTGCCAGAACCAGCTGGGGGCAAAGTAGAAACTAGATTGGGTTTTACAAGGCTGTTGGTTCTTGGCCTGCAAGGCTGGGCTGACTCTTGCCCTATTGCCTGCTATGTCAGCAGGGCTCCTTGTAGTCCAGGCCCTCGGTTACTGGAGGCATGGGTGGGAGCCACAGAGAGCCCTGGGCCAGAGCTGCTCCCAGAATGCGTGGAGCTTGCATGGCCTGCTGTTCAAGCTCCACAAAGTTGGAAATGTTTGGGGGGGTGTTCAGTATGTCTGCTCCTTAGGCTCTCATAAGGAACCAGGTGGATGCCGAGCTCGGGGCAGCCTTACCTTGCCCTAGGCTGCTGATCCTGAGACATCCTCTCTTTTTCTCTCACAGGAGTAAGTCAGTTGCTTTCTCTGGTGACATACTGCTTTTACTCCTGTTAGAGAACTCAGAGGGAGAGATTGGTCTTGGGGTTCCACGCCCCAGATGAAGAATGCCCTTGGTTGTCAGGTTGCATGATGTGATGTTCTCTACAGTCAGTGTTATGGCTGGCGCCACAAGAGAACCCCAGATCTCCCTTCTACCATAAACTGACAAACTAAAAAGTAACTAGAACGGTAAAAACAATAAAACTTTGAATAGTGAGATTTGTTAAAGCATTTTAAAATTGTTACTGAGATAGAATTCACATAAAAAGTATACAGTTCTTAAAAAAAAAAGCATACAGTTCTGTTTTTTCATGTATTTACCATGTTGTATAATCATCTCCCTAATAGTTGGATTTTTTTAAATTAATTTTTCTGAATACAAAAGGAATATGTTCTTATTGTAGAATGATATAAATGTTCTGGAGCACTACCCTCAGAAACACTTTTAGTGAGACGCTGGGCTGCTGATGTTCCAGGCTGATGCCCATCCCAAGAGGGTTGTGACTTGGCAGTAGCATGCAGCCGTCTCTTGGACCGTCCAAGTCATCTGTCTACGGGTCATAAAGAACTTGCCTGAAAAAGCCAGAAGATCTTCAGGACCAATCTCCAGGTTTCTGCCCAGACACAGACCCATTTGGTACCTGTGCAAGCTCGCAGACAAGCCCATCTGAACAACATCTTGGCCACATTTACTAGGAAGGTGCACACAACTCTAGTCAAGTTTCTCCTCTCCAGATTTTTCAAGGAGTCTCACCAGAGTTCATTGACAGAAGAATCTTAGAAACTGGAAGAACGCATGGCAGAGAAGAAAGACAGTGTTTTCACGTTTCTAAACTGCTCTTGCCATTTAGTTACTAACTCGTGTCCAACTCTTTGTGACCCCATGGAGCAGCCCACCTGGCTTCTCTGTCCATGTGATTTTCCAGGCAGGAATATTGGGGTGGGTTGCCATTTCCTTCTCCAGGGTCTAAACTGCTTGAGTTTTACTATATATTTTTTTGCAATGAAGGTTTATTAAATCTTAGTTTTTCTGACCTCTGCATTTTTTTAAAACCTCACATCTTCATCTAAGATAAACTATTATAGCTCACAGTATCTGTGCAAATTATAAATTGAATCAGGGAGTTACCTGGCATTCCAGTAGTTAGGACCCCGAACTTCCACTGCAGGGGGAACAATTTCAATCCCTGGTCAGGAACTAAGATCCCACAAGCCACACAGCATTGACCAAAAAAAAAAAAAAGAATCCTATACAAAATAGTGAGAAATAATAGGAAGAGGAGTTAGTTCACATTAGCAGAAAGGAGATTGAAGCCAGTAGTATTATCAGTTATTACCAGTAGTATGAACTACCTACCAGATTGTGTGCTGAATGCCTTTAGTCTTTATTTAAAAAAAAAAAAAAACCTATGAAGAATATAGATTTTTTTCTTTTTGTCATCTTACAGATGAAAAAATCTGAGCACATAAATTTAGGTTATTTGCCAGGATCTCAAAGCTCAGAATTAAGGTTCTGCCCCTGACAACACAACCTGAGCTCTTAACTCCTGAGCAGCCTCCTGAAGCATAGACATGGCCTATTTCTCTAGGGGTCAGTGAGGGGACCCTTGAGGCTTCACACATCTGAGCCCTGGACTGCCTCTCACTTACAGGCCCTGATTGTGTTCTGTGTTCAGGGAGTGAGCATGAGCAGTTAGGCCTGGGCCCTGAAGGCTGTGCCAAGCCCCTGGGGTCTAGAAAGCAGCCCTAAATACCTTCTGTCCCCCTCAGGAGGTTCAGTGGGAGTTTGAGGATCTGGAGCAGTTGTAGCCCTTCAGGCAGGAGTGCCAAGACCATTGGTCTGCTAGATAACCAGGAGGGGACAGATGGGGCAGGAAAGCCTCCAGTCACCCCCTCCTGGGATGCCCGTGTGGAAGCAGTTGGCACACGCAAATGGGGCAGACGTGCCTGGCCTTGGGCCTTGGGGGTTTTGATGGGAGGGTATGTGCGTCATGGGGTTGGGTGAGGAGGCCCATCACGAGGAAATGATGAAAGCAGGGACCCAGCCTCTGAGAGACCCACCCTCGGAGTGTAGAAGCAGGCTGTCCAGAGTATGAAGATGTTAACCCAACCAGCCTACTGGTAGATGGACATAATCAAGACTTACCTGCCAAGAGAGGTTCTCTTTTTGGCTAAAAATGCATCCTAGGCCTTAGGGGAGCAGTGGAGTGACACGTGTATTCCCTCTTTGTCTTTAGTCATGGGACATTTTTTTCCGAAACACCAATGCCGGAGCGCCCCCAGGCACCGCCTACCAGAGCCCACTCCCCCTGAGCCCGGGCTCCCTGTCAGCTGTGGCCAGAGCGCGGCCCCTGGTGGAGGCCCAACCCAATGTGGACAAGCTGGTGGAGGATCACCTGGCAGTGCAGTCGCTCATCAGGGCTTACCAGGTAAGGTGGCGGTGGGCGGCCATCCGTGACAGCACCTTGCCAACCCAGTGAAGGTGGTCGTTTAACTTTCACACCCCACCAAACACTAGGTACTCTCTCCTGCTCTGGGGGTGAAGGGAGGCAAAAATGAAATATGACAGGAGAAAAGGAGCCCAGACATCCTCTTGCCATTTGAGCAGATCCTCTGCCACCCATGGCGCCTGTCTGTTTCTTTCCATGAGTTGGCAGGAATGATTTGTGGGCAGGGAAGCTCACTCCATGCCCACGTGGCTAGGGAACTGCTGCTCCCTCAGGCACTGCCCCTTCTCAGTTGCTAATGCCCAAATACAAAAAGAGAAGGTAAACCTGTAGGGTTTGGGGACAGAAGCAGAGTCCATGGAAGCAGGGAAAAGCAGGAAGGGGCAGCTGAGCCTCCAGAGGGGCCATCTCTCCATGAGCATTCCCATTGGAGGAGGGTCAGGCAGAACCAGTGGATTCCATGGCCTTGCTCAGAGCCCAGAAGCCCCTTCCAGGATATCTACCTGGCATGGAGAAGAGCCTGGGATTCAGATCTTACCATCTGCTCTGTGAGTAGTTCTTAGGAGGAGATGAGGAACAGTTGGGCCCGGAGCAGCCCTTCTGGGAGCCCCCAAAATCTAGGCTCCCCTGCTGCTTCTCCTGGCATCGCTGCAACCTGGCAGGGGAGTCCCACTGTGGAGTCCTCATCCCTCCACTCTTCTCTTTCTTGGAAACAACCATATGGACTGTTCTCCTCTGCCTATCTGGTCAGTTGCCACAAGTGTCAGGACAGGCAGCACAGAGTGGATCTATCCTGCTGGGGGAGCCTGGCAAGTTAGGCTTTCTCCCCAGGGCAAGTGAGAACAAATAGCCGTGTGCTCTCAGGTGCTGTTCACAGCAGGCGTTTCTACAGAAAAGAGGCACAACTGGTATGTGCTGACCACTGCCTGACTCATTCAGCCTCAGTCATTTCTGCAGTCTTTCAGTGACTTCATAACAGCTGTTCCTCTTCCCAAATTGCTAGCAGGAAACTGTGGATAAAATGTCCAAGACTTAAAGACACAAATTTGGAAGTTGGGAGGGATTTTCCCTGTCCTTTTGTTTGTAAATGGTTCTGATCAGACGCTGTGGTCCCTGGTGCCGCTGCCTGCTCTTGTGCTTACTGCCCTGACCCCACAGCAGTGCCACCTGCACCTTCCTGAGGGACTTCAGGCTGTTCTAAGCTGAGTGGCTTTCACACTCGAGTTAAAAGTCCCAAGCATTTCCCATTTCTGTTTATCCAGGAAGGAAGGCTGTGTCAGGATCCCAGGAAATGGGTCCTTTTAGACTTCCAGGTTTATCATAACCTGAGAAGTTTATCCCTTTTTTATAGAAGTGCTTTTATGCCCAATGCCTGCATGCTAAGTCACGTCTGACTCTTTGTGACCCTATGGACTGTAACCCTCCAGGCTCTTCTGTCCTTGGGATTCTCCAGGCAAGGATACTGGAGTGGGTTGCGTGCCCTTCTCCAAGAGATCTTCCCAACCCAGGAATTGAACCTGCATCTCTTATGTCTCCTGCACTGGCAGGCGGGTTGTTTGCCACTAGAGCCACCTGGGAAGCCTTTTATGCCCAATAGTGCTTTAAAATAAACTATTCTAAGGCTTATTTTTGGGTTAATTGGTGCTCTCAGGGAAAGGTTTGATCAGTTGTAACTTTTACCCCCCTCACAGCCCACAGGACCTGCTTAATGACTGCTTGTATTATTGCTTCCAGGTCAGGGGTCACCACATTGCAAAACTTGATCCTCTCGGAATTAGTTGTGTAAATTTTGATGATGCTCCAGTAACTGTTTCTTCAAACGTGGGTGAGAATGAATCTGTAAACACTAATTTTAATGTAATTTTACTTTTTTTTTTTACCCCTTCCCTCTTTTTTTTCTCCTGTCCTTTTGTGTGTGTCCTTCCCTCTCCATCGCTGGCCCATGTAGATACGAGGGCACCATGTAGCACAGCTGGACCCCCTGGGAATTTTGGATGCTGATCTGGACTCCTCCGTGCCCGCTGATATTATCTCATCCACAGACAAACTTGGTGAGGGTCTGAGGGCGGCCGGCGCTGCACTGCTTGGCGCCTCTCTGTGTGTCCCAGCTCATGGCAGCCAGGACGTCCACAGGCGAAAGGGAAAGACTCTTAAGTTTCCTTCGTTCTGATCACTTGACATTTATAAGTTATGCAGCCTTAGTGAGTTTTGGGCAAGTTATTTTTAATCTCAGCTTTTCAGCCAGATCATATGAGCTCAATTGTCTAAGCCTGAAAATTGGAAAGTGAAATTTGGGGGCAGAAAAGGTTAGTGGCACAGAGAAGACATGACCCACCCAGGCAGGCGGGTCCCCAGGATACTCCAGGGACTGGTACATCTGGCTTCGGTTTCCAAATCTCGGGGCAGTGCAGCCTGTGCCCAGATGGGGCCTTGCTCGGAATCGTCACACGCCCTGAAGCACAGTGCAGCCTGCCTTTGACGGGGCAAATTCCAGAGCAAGGGGTGCAGTTGGGGTGTCTCGATTCTCAAATGCCGGTGATCACACTGAGGAAACTTTGGAAGGCATCCCGCGTGCAGGGAGGCGCATGTGGCACACAGACGGTTGTAGCCACGACCCCCGCACCCCCTCTGTCGTGAGCACAGGGGCCGGGCGGGGCTCACACCTGTGGTTGCTTTCAGAAGTTAACCTGCTCTAAGTCACCGTGCTGCTAACCTGTGCTACAGAATTGATGACGTGACTAATTTTTAAATGGCCAGGTTGTTTACGAGGAACACTGTGCATGCTAATAAAACTGATGATTACCTACCTGCCTAACGCTGCTCTGGGAGGGGACAGAATTTGCCTCCCCTGAATAATATTCTGTAATGCCCCCCAGAGGCGGGTCTGGGTTGTGAGTTGAGAAAAGCTAGTCAGGTAATACTGGAGGTCTCGCTTAGTGGTGTCCGACTCTTTGCGACCCTGTGGAAGGTAGCCTACCAGGCTCCGCCGTCCATGGGATTTTCCAAGCAAGAATACTGGAGTGGGCTGCCATTTCCTTCTCCAGGGGATCTTCCCAACCCAGGGATCGAACCCGGGTCTCCTGCATTGCATACTTTACCATCTGAGCCACCAGGGAAGCCCTTAGTCAGGTAATACTGGAGTTCAAATAGCATTGGCCCCAGGATGGCTGTTAGAGGTTTGTCTCTACTCTGTCTTCATTTTGGAAACACTCCTAGGGGATACAGGGTTTCTTCTACTTTGTAACTGCACAAAGGTTTGGAAGAAAGATTAGATCAACTCTTCTGAATATAAAATAGGGCCAGTCCAGATTGTTGGCCGGATGTGAGTTGAATCCTGCTGCTTTATTGAGTGATGACAGCTTTGTGCACCCCAGAGGTGGGCTTTTCTCTCCACTGTCCCCCAGGACACTTGGAATCTCTCTCCTCCTTCTTACCACGTAGCCCCCAAAGCACCCAGACCCCACCCAGCTGGGACTCATCTGTGCTGAAGCCCATCGGCACCACCTCCAGGTGCTTGGGGCAGGGCAGACCTCCCATCCCCACCCCACCTGGGAGGCCTGTGAGCCCCCAAGCACTGGCTGCCTGAGGAATAGCTCAAGATCCTGTGCCCTGAGGCTGACTCTCTGGAGAAGGACCCTGACTGTGGGGCCTGGCAGGGCATGGGCCACAGAGGCTGGTGTTCTGTGCACAGTCAAGCATTTAAATGAGAAAGGCATGGGACGGGGGTGGGGGGGTGTCTGACGCCGCATCTCCCCTGTTCTTGCTCCATCCCTGATTGCCAGGTTCTTGATTTCTGCTCAGACCTTTCCCCGTGGTTCCCAACTCACTGGAACTGCCTGGGGAGCCTAGAGCTCCTGTCTGTCCTGCCTGAGGCCGGTCGGTGGGATGTACCATGGCCGACAGGCTCCCGCAAGGGTTTCTTGGAAGCCCCCAGGCCGTCCCAGCCCAGGAGTCTGTGAAGCCTGAGAGCCCCCAGCCCGGTTGATGCTGTCCACCTCCTCAGTTCATACTTCTCAGGGGGCAGGCGCAGAGGTAGGGCCTCTGTCGTTCTTTCGGGTCCTTTCTAGGCCATCTTGATCTCCCCTTACGGTCAGCTCTGAAACAGTGCCCCAAGTATCTGTCCTTCCATTAAGGTGCAGCATCAACACAGTGAGGGTGAACCAGCAGGAGGGTGTTATAAACCAGAGACACAGAGGTGGCCCCAGAGCTTCCTGAGCTCATCCTCTGGCTGGGAGCCCATCAGAAATGTCAGGAGAAAGTTGAGGAGCAGCCCCCTCCTTTGCAGAAGAGAAGTGCCTCTCATCCTGAGAATTCAAAATAGTGTGATAGAAAAGTCATGGAAATAGTGTAAACCCAGTGTGTATTGATATTTGAATCTGTAGGAAAATTTGTCTTGAATTATCTCACCCTTGATGTATGTAGGTCTTTACAAAAACATCTGGATCAACAGGATCACTCTGTTCGGGGACACTGGACAGTCCCTAGAGTGCTCTCCTGCCCATCATCTCATCCAGCCCTCAGGCCTGAGCTCAAGCCAGCTTCCTATGGAAAGCTGGTCTCTGCCAGGTCTAGCTCTGTCTTCTCACCAGTAAGGTTGTAGCAGTATTAAATAAACTCCTTAAAATAGTGCCTGGAGCTTACTAAGTTCCCTGAAGGTGTGAGCTACTGTGATTATTAACAGTCTTTTGAGATAAAAGCTGCTGATGTCTCTGGAAAAAATGGATATTTAGAAATAGAGCAATGGAACAAATAACCCAGAGTTGGTGCCACAGTTAGTAGAAAGGACTGGGGTGAAGCCTGAGTGACAAGAAAGCAGGCTAGCTCACGAGGCGTGGTGAGTGTGGCCCGCATGGTGGTCTGGGTGAGTGAGTGACTGCAGGGGTGTGCTGTGTCACACAGCACTGTCCTCAGGCTTGCATCCCTCTCACGACACTACCAGCTATCTTTCCTCTCTCCGGTAGATGCGGCACAGTTCCTCCATTCCCTTGTGGGGAAGCCAAGGCCCAGGCGGTGACTACTCCCCATCCATTTGAGAGCACTTGGTAGTGTGACTGAGGCAGCACAGGGGTAGAGGAGCAGCTTCCGGCCCTGGTTGAAGGCAGAAAGCCGTTCCCAAGGGCAGTGCTGGCCAGCACAGATATGCAGGGCAAGCAGGGCTGCTGTCCCCTCAGAGTTTTTTAAATAAAGTGGAAAATGTGAAAAGTTTTTACTGAGTTCTTCCCGAAATACTCACAACCCTTGCAGTGACATGTGGAGAGAAGAGAGAATTATCAGGTAGCAGGTAGACCGCAGACTCGGCTGCCAGGTAGAGCTCCAAGGTAGTCCCAGCCTGTCAGGGTTACCATCAGACGTGTGCACACAGACTACTGTGAATGCAGCACAGATATAGTTGAGATGGTGGGGTTAGTGATTTATTATTTATTATGCAAATCTAAAAATTAATGTTAGAACAGTTTGGATTTTTTTAGGTGTGGGTTATGCTCTAGAATTGTGCAGTGACTGCTAGGAGCAGGAGACCTTTTGCCAGGATGTGTTATGTTAGGGGCCGGGTTCCAGGTCCCCAGAAGCGCATCTTAACTTAAACCAGGCTGAGTCGACCACACATACAGTCGAGGAAGGTTGGGAGCTCCAACCTGAGATGCCTGGTCACAAGATCCACATTCCTCCCTAGGGGGCTGCTGGAAGTATCCAAGCTAGATCAGGTTTCCTAGCAAGGCCTCTCCTGGTTGACCCTAAGGAAGGACCAAGAGTGTGGCTTTTGACAGGGGTCAGAGTTGTTGCCACCTTAAGTAGAAACCAATCAATTGCAGGCAGCCTGTGCACTCTCACCTCCGGGCCTCCAGTCCTGCGCTGGCTCCAGTCCTTGCTTCACTGGGGTGGGGGGGGGCATCAGGATGTCTTGTCTCTGGGCCAAGCGGGACTGCCCTGGGCAGGGTGAGGATGTGGAGAAAGTTCTTGTTAACTCTCACCCTCAATTTGCTCTCCTCTTCCAAGTGCAGCATTTGAGTTAGATTCCAGCTTTAAAATGCCATCGAGTGGCTTCTGTATGGATTCTGTAGTATAACTATTCAGGGTGACAAAAAAAAATTGAAATGTACTTAAATATCAAATTGAAACATAATTAAAGGAGAACTCAAATTCCATAAATAAAACTGAAGAAGGCGTGAAACTTCTGTTTACCATTAATGTTTGCAAATTGTCAATCTTAGAAAATGAACTTGAGTTACAAGGTTAAAAAGACAATTCAGAAGTCCAAGTTATGGCAATGTTTTTGCTACTTTAAGTGGATTAGTTCATCCCCAGCACAGCAGGACATGAAGTCTCCCTACCCTTCTGACCTTCCACAGTGCTCTTTCTGGTTGAATTTTGTCCCCTTGATGGCTGGGAAGAATGAGCTAAAAATAGGGTTGAATTTTAATCTACTTTAGTAATTTTAGAGCAGTGGAGAACAATTTACGTAGTATTTATTGGTTGCTGTGTGCAGCCTGTGGTGCCACCAGGCCTGTGAGTGAAGAGTTGGGATCAGATCGTCCAAGTGACTCAGGCCAAGCTAAGGTCATGATGGGCACATGCATGTCGCCTGCAGGGGTGGCCTCCTTCCTGTATGCCCAGGAGCTGGCAGACCAAGACACACCCAGGCCTAGCATCATATTCCTTCTTCTTGCCAACTATATTTCCCTTGGAAACACCTTGGCCAAATCCCAGCTGATCTGTCTCTCTAGCAGAGTGTCTTGTGCTCATCAAGAAGTAATTTTTAAAAATATTTTAAAGTGCTCAGGTGCAGGGAATCCCATGTGCTGTCTGTAAGTGACAACCAGAATATCTACTGTTAAGACTTTCCTTTGGTTTGTGTCTGTTGTTCACATTTTATTTTTAAAATACTCAAGAAGTGCAGATAAAACTACATGCCCAGTACCCAGAGTGAACCGTTATAAGCTTTTGATCATATTGCCTTTAGGTTTCTTTAACAGATACGCATGCACAGTTCATTTTGAGGCTGGGGGGAGTCCTGTAGGCAGCACTGATGGCTGCTTGAGATGGTCCTATGTCT